GGTGCGGAATTTTCTGGCCATTCTGAATCAGACGATTGGTGTGCTGCTGAAGACCTGTTTTGCAACACCATCATTTCCGGCCACGGTAATGCAGTGACTGGGCAAAAGCAATCTTTACTGCCCATCCGCATCCACAAAGGCTGGGTGTTCTTAAAAGTACGCAACACCGATGAATGGATAAAGCATTGGGAAATGCTGATCAGTTTCTGCCGCGGAGGATTTTCGCAAAGAGACCAGGTGCGTGCTGAAGATCGACCTCTGCTCGTACGACTCGGTGTTCCCCGGTGACGATGACGAAAACTTTAGACTGGAAGTTCGGGACAAGTCTGCACGGCGTGTATTCGCCTTCGCGTCAGTGACGCCGGGCTTTCGACACAGTTGGATTCACGACATTCAGATGGTGCTAGAACATCGAGGCGACCAGTTCATCTCTAATTCTGTCTATTTTCCTCCTGAATGATTGAGTCTAAATTCCGCTGGAGGCGTGGCAGTCTGTGAAATCGGTGGCAGCTTTATGGTGGAATAAGGTGGCTGGCTAAGATACTTCAGATGACGACGAAGACATTTGACTGAGCCCTCAAGTCCTCACGATGTTAAACCCGAATCAAAGGAAAATCTTAACGAAGCAGACGTAGAAGCCTTCATTATCAATTACGGTAGCAGTGCTCGAAAAGTGACCCAAAGTTGTTCCTCAACTTTTCGTCGAATCTGGAATGAAGGCAAAGTCAACACACAGTACCAGGTGTCGCCGTATTTCTTAGACGCCAGAAGTCGTTGAAGAAAAGGGTATGACGACTAATAACAGATTTCATGCGGGTCATAGAATTTTTGTAGCAATCGAACTGTGTCGTACTGCAATGAGATTTTATTCAATTGATCGATACGCTCATTCAAACGGTGTACTGTATAAATAGTATGTTTCCGTTGGTGCATAAATCGTAATCGGCTTGATTTTGCCAATTTAAACATCGTTTGTGTAACAACATTTATCACAATATCTTTCCATCCATAATTTTGTGCTTTTCAGGACGAGAAAAACCAAATCATGCACACGAATGTTTGGCTGACCCTGGTAAAGCGAGCAAGGCAGTTTCTGTTCATTACCGTTTTGTTTTGTTTCAGAAGTGGTACGATTTTCAAATGAGGTGGAATCCCGTTGATTATGGTGATATTCGGCAAATTCGAATAGCCACCGACAAACTTTGGTTGCCCGACGTTGTACTATTTAACAAGTAGTCTATATTACTGACTATATGTGTGTTTTTTATTTTGCATGATTGACTGTGAATCCCTTTTGGCTGAACCTCATTTTTTTGCCTGTTAATTTTTTATTATTTTCACTTCTTCCTTCTCCTACTTGTTTCATTCTTTTTCTTGTATATTTCTTTGTATTATCTTTGTGTTTTGTGTTCTTTGTTTCTCCTCTTCTGTTTCGCTTTTTGTTCTTTCTTCTTTGGCAGTTTGGTTCACACTAATTACCGTTCATTTACGCCATTTCTGCCGTAGTGAATGAATGGTCCTTATACCGGGCTTTATGCACTGTAACCCTGCGTACTTGGTTTTTGAAGCCATTTGAGCTAGCCACAGCCACGTAGCATTCGACAACCGGAAGTGCTTGGGTACAACACCGCATCACTAAGATAGTAGGAGAATGGTACGTCAGCACAAATTCTTGAGCCGTGGCTTAAGCAATGCATATGTTGAGAAGCTACTGGGTAGGATCAGACCGTGCACATCCGCACGCCGACTCGAGTTGTAGCTCCAGCATATATATGTTTGCTCAGTATATAGTCCATGAGTTACTCCTTATGCATTCTTTTCTATTGCACCTGCGTGTCTATTCATATTATTTCATTTGGGAGGGCTCAATCGTTAGAACCAGCAGCTTTTCGGAGGGTTTTTCTGATTGCTGACTTTCGAACTGCATCGTAAGCACAAGCTTAGGGATTTTTAGTTCAGCCAATCGTATGCCGGATCGTCCTCTTCAACTGACATGAAAAATCAGACCTGTGTCTTAAGATTTGCTGATATGTATGAGATGAAAGGTCAAATTAATCAAATATTCAAGATATATTGGCATATAAGACTGCTAAGAAAATTTGCCAATACTATGAGACAATGAACATTGCTAATTACGGATGGATCCGTCGCTCAATCATCAGTTATCGTGGACCAAACGCAATCACCCCGCCATAGATTAACACAGCTTAAGGTAGACGATTCTCAGCGTGTAGACTTAGAACTGAAGGCGCGGAGCAATTCCAGAACCTTGATGACTTACAGATCTCAAAAGGATGCTAGAAACGGAGGGTGGAGGATGGGCCATCTTACAGATATGAATACCTGACCGAAGTATGCTCATCGACATCCTGTTA